TTTAGGCATGTAACTTTAACACCTTGTATTTCTGAAACTGTCGAGTTTTTTATATAAGTTTATCAGGAAAATTTATATTATTTTATTGTTTTTTATTTTATTTATAATTTTTATTGATTCTCAAGTTATTAGGTCCACTTTAAAAAAATTAAAAGGCTTTCGAAAATTTCACTTAATATCTTAAAATATGAAAAGTAAGAGGAGATGGAGAAGGAGAAGTCACTACATGTAGACTAAACTCAGAAACGACCTTTTTTATATACGTATTTACGTAAATATTATTCTTCTTTTGGTTCTGTAATACATTCATATTATTTACATATTATTTGTTTGAAGTTTTTTATATTTTTTATAATTTTTATGTTTGACTGAAAATATCTGTGCATTATGTTTTTATTTTAATGAATATAGACTAAAGTTTTTTTAGTTTGGTCTTGGTTTAATAGTTTTAGATTGATGTGCTATTTTGTTACTGTATCAATCTAACTTACACTTCTTAAGAACTAATAAAATAAATATCCAAAGATTGGATTTTGGATTCCAAGTGGAGTTTGACAGATAGAGGTTAAAAGTTACAAGAATTAAATAACACTTTAAATGATATCTCATTTTATTTTATAAATATGAAGAGAACTTATAGGTTAGCAAGAATTTATATTAATGGTTTATATTAAAATAGAGTAGAAGGGTAGAAGGGCTTCTGAAAACTAAAAAGTGTTTACTTTGTTGATCTTGTTTAATATATATTTACCAAGGATATCGAGTGGAATGCATATTGATTATTGGCAATTTTATAATAACTTTTTAAAAATATATTAAAAATAACTTTATTTTTTTAGTTTAATTATCATTCCAGGATACTCGGGGATTTTTGTTCCGCCCGTCACAATTAAAAATTGTGAGTAGAAACTACACGTTATAAAATTTATTTTTAAAATATTGTTTATTATTCTTGTAATAAGCTTATAAGCACAATAAAAATAATATTATAAAATATTAATTTACTTGTGGTTTTTACTCACATTTTTTAATTGTGACGGGCGGGACAAAAATTTCCGAGGAACGTGGAATGCCCCCACGTTGGTACATTTGTCGTTTTCAACTTAAAAAATATATAATCCTCCAAACATTTGTACTGTTACTTTGTAAGAAAAATTAAAATCGCGTATGTAGCCGTTGTGGAGATATACACTTAAATGTATTTTTTTTTATAAATTAATGCGCAACAATAAGCTTAACATGTGTTCTAGTGAAAATGACCACAGCAATTCGCTATATATATATTGATGGTTTTCCGGGATCTGCTCCGAGTTGTCAGTTTTTGGTTCTTAAAAGAACCGTATGTCTGACGACGTTTCGGTACAATCTCATGTACCATCTTCAGGTCTTATCTGCTGGGCTGCTGTTGCTGCTCTGCTGCAAGTTCATACATATAACGCCAATGGAAATCTAAAGCAGCAGAACAACAACAGCAGCCCAGCAGATAAGAGGGTACATGAGATGGTACCGAAACGTCGTCAGACATACGGTTCTTTTAAGAACCATAAACCGACAACACAGAGCAGATGCCGGAAAACCATCAATACATATAACGCCTGTGAAAACCTAAAGCAGAACATTGATATCGTTAATTTGCGTGGCGTTTTGGTGGTTGTAAGAGCTGGTTTTTATGCAGTTGGTAGTCTCTGTTTATCGTCTCTTGTGCTGAGGTTTCTTGGTCCTGTGTTCGATGCTAGCCAAGACCCTTGTTTTTTTAAAGTCAATTTCATGGAAAGTTTTTCGGACGTGTTCAGCGAAGAAAGATATTTTAAGACTGCGTTTCGATGTTCTTCACGTCTAACGTTGATACGTCTATTCGTCTGTCCAACGTAGCTTCCGTCACAATTATTACAAGGAGTTTCTTTCACCCCTTGTGCCTCTAACTCTATTTTGGTTTGGCGAAGTATTTGACCGATCTTTCTTGTGGCGGTAAATGTTATGTTTTTTGAGAACTTTGCCTATTCTCTCGGTTGTCCCTTTCACGTAGGGAAGGTAGGCCTTCGAAGTTGGTTTGTTGTTCTCGTCCTCTGTGGTATTTAACCGGCGTCGTGGTCTAAGAGCCTTTTTGATGATGGTTTTAGAGAATCCGTTTTGCTGTAGCGTCGTTTGGAATTTCAGGTCTTCTTGTTTCTTGTGGTCATCATCCGCCAGCCTTTCGCGTGACAAGTGTCTTAATGATTGACTGCAGTTGTGACGGGTGGTGGTGAGACTGGGCGTGTGCCATTATTTATCTTGATTATGAAAACATCCAGAAAAGGTAATTGGTGTTCTTTCTTGGTTTCTATTGTGAACTTAATCTTTTCAGTTTTTCTTCTCCGTGGGTCCAGATGACAAATGTGTCTTTTACGTACCGTAGTCATAACTTTGATTTTAGTGTTGCCGTTTCGATTGCTCGTACTTCTATGTCTTCCATGAATAAGTTGGCTATTGCTGGCGATATTGGGAAATTGACTTTGAAAAAACAAGGGTCTTGGCTAGCATCGAATACAGAACCAAACGTACCATTCGTGAAGCCATTGAAATAGGAAAATGTCCAAAAAACCTCAATAAAAGAGGCGATACACAGAGACTAAGCTTAATGTTGCAAATAAATTTATAAAAAAATACATTTAAGTGTATATCTTCACAACGGCTACATACGCAATTTTAATTTTTCTTGCAAAGTAAAGCTAATAATATCACTATTTAAAAAAAAAAATGTTTGGAAGATTATATATTTTTTAAGTTGAAAACGCCAAATGTACCAACAAGCTACATTACCAATGATTCTGGCCTGTGTAAGCAGTTTGAAAATGGATATAAGCGTACCCTATAAATATGCATTTAGGAAAATTTAAGAAACCAAATTTACATTTAAAACATTATAATAACATGCATTTTTTATTTTAATTGAAATTGATCATTGAATATTTTTCTACCTAATGGTCACATGAACATAACTTGAAATGAAAACACTGTATGTCTGGAATTTTAAATCCAGTAAAGTTAGTAAATTAATTGTATTTTTAAATATTTTTTTCCAAAATAATATTTTTAAGTTGATTTTAATGAACATTGATGAAACAAATATTACTTTGATTCGCGGCTGAGGTCCTAGCCGATGATGCAGATCTAGGCGAGGCAGTTAATAGGTATGCCTTCTACGCCGTGTTGTATATACATACTATTTTTTTAAGCGTTTAATTATTTTGAACTCGCATTGAAATTCTCAAGAATGAGAGATGTCTGTATACCTTTTAGTATTTTGAGACAAATAAACTGTTTATTATTATTATTATTATTGTTATGTCGAAATTCAGTGTAAAGCTACTTCTATTATTCTCTTTTTTGAATTCAAGTGTGAGTACGGTATACCGTTTTGCTATCAATTTTTTCTTAAAAATAACTAAAAATCAATAAATTCTCTCGGTAACATTGTGGATTAACTGAAAAACAGTGCATCGATGAACTTTATTTTTAATATGGCGAAGCACCATTTTAAGACATTATCGCTGGTTTTGAAAATTTTATCGTGACCGTGGTTCGACCGACGAATTTTGTAAAGGTCATCCTAAATAAGTCGTTATCCCAGAAAACATTGATGCTGCGCGTAAACTGATATTGCACGATCGTCAATACTGCATAAACATTTGGCCGTCAGAAAAATTTGTTACCTAATTTGACAATCGCTAATTAGGCTCGTGTCGATTGGTGAAAACAATGCTTAAAAATACGATCGCAATGCACCAAAAGCTATGTATTCAACCAGATTGCAAATAGCAGTCGACGATGGGTAAGCAAACCCAACAAAAGTTGTTCAAAATGCACGTTTTAAAGGTACCTTAATTAGAGTATAAAAATTGCCACAAAAAGTGATTCAAACGTCCCCAATAAACTACAAAGGTTGTTTAAAAGGCCATAAATTAAGCACATATCCAAAGTGTTCCCCTCCATAAAGAAGTAAAAACTCTTAGTGCATCGTTTCCAATTTTCAGAAAATAAATAACGACCGGTGATGCTGAATTCTAAAGTCAGTACTTGGAACGAACAGTCGAATTTTCCATGAAGAGAGGCATTACGAACAAGCCGTCGCGACGTGGACGGCAATACTTCGGTACTAAAGACAACATGCGGGTTTCGCACAGTGGGGCAAACAATTTTCACGATAGTATTTTTAGCAAAGACACGGACGCAGACGAACAAGAAGTACCTAAAGAAGCAAGATAGGCCCCTACAGCGTATTAACCAACCAAGCCCCATTTATGTACCACAATTGAATGTGGGTGTTACTAAATTCCGGATTGTACTTAGTTTTGGATTAGTCTAAATTCCCCTGAAAACCAAAATGTTTTCTCTCCTTGTCCAAAACTTCACTAGCCTAATCGGCCGGCGACAACATTCCGGGTCTTAACCATCTACACTGTCCACGATCCAGGTTTAAACTTCGTATCCATCAAACACAGGTAATGCTGTGCAGTTGCGGAATACGTAGGAGAACCGAAATGGGGTAAAAATAACGCTGGGAGACCAGTGTATGATGACGCTAATAGGGCCAGCTATACGTTCTTGAAACTCATACTTATACTCAATAACAGCACGGTTAGAAAGTTACTCCCATTGAAAGATCTACCAGTCTTAAAAAAACACCTCTTAGAAACCTCGTCATTGTGCTTTGCGGAGCACAACTAAAACAAAGCACAGTGACAAGATTTCTGCTAACATTTATCAATTAATAAAACATAAATACATTTGTACAAACACATCTAGTAACCCTACCTACAATTAAGTTACAGCCTGATATATAGATGGGTCACTACCGCGATACCACGCGTTAGGGAATTAATTTACTACTTAAATAAATTACTTTTGTCCAGCTAGATTTGCAAATTAAATCACTGTGCGTCACTCTGTGCTTTGCTATTCAAATTTACATTAAAAAGAGTTTTTAGACGTCTAAGGGTTTTGATAAAAGTTCTTCTTACCAGCGTATCCTTGTCCAGAATGCCCAGTGTGTCCAGCATGTCCAGTTGTAGAAGGATGCGGTATTAAGATGGCTGACGAGGCGATATTCTTGCCGAGATTCGTGATGGATTCACCTTTGGTGCTAATGAGTTTACCCTTCGCAGATATTAGGTAACCGCTTCCTTTTATCAGTTGACCCTTAATGGCTATCACACCGCCCTTGATTGCTTTTACTGCTTGTAGCAAAGTGTTTAAAATCGATTTTTTAAGCGACCAAAAATCGAACGATTTGTGGTCATAAGTCTAAAACAAACAAACACAAATTAGAATAGTTTTATCAACTGAAATCTAAGACCAATTTTCATTTGTATTTCATAATTTTTTTAAAGAAAAATTGAAATTTAAACATTTATAAAAATTAGTTCATTGTTATTTTTAAATTACGATTTGGTATTACAGTCTAGCTACAAAAGGAAACCGTCATTTTCTCCTGTTTCTAATACGTTTTATCTCGTGGGAGCATTAGTTACTTTTACGACCAGAGAAATAGGGTTTAAATTTGGTTTAAAAAAAAGGTATGAATTTTTTTATAATAAATTATTTTCTTAATTGGTAAAAGTATATAATAAATTATTATTATTATTAATTATAATTATAATGAGACAATTTCAGACAGTTTCTGACAAAAAATAAATAAATTTAAAGGTAAAAGAAAAACGTTAAATGCATTTTCATTAAAACTAATAAAGGCGAACACTTTTTCTATCAGAATTCGTGGCATTAAATTTTGCTCTTTTTGTTATGAGGTAATGGTAAATTACTAGGAAAAAAAATACAAGGAAACCAAGTTTTTGATATTTTCCACAGAAAATATTAAATGCACAAATGATATTTGAAGCGGTGTCCCGTCAATTCATCGCGCGACAATTCATCGCCGACAATTCATCGCGCGACAATTTATCGCTACGACAATTCATCGCGCGACAATTCGTCGCAAATTTTTCAATATTTCTGATTAACTCTAAATGCTAAAATAGTACTATGGATTGTTTTAATTTTTCAGAAAATATTTTATTAGTAAAATGACCAAAAAAACTCAATAGACAACACAGTTCAATATTGCAATATTTTATAATTGCACTTGGAATGTTATCGTAACCACTGCTAATTTTGGATTTAATATTTTTTAAATTTATTAATGTATATGTTACAGGTTCCAAAAATATAGGCTATTATATTACATTATAAATTAAAGTTTGGAATACAGGACACAATATTATGAATATTGTTTGACATAAAGATGCCATCATTGGTTTTCATACTGAAATTAGGAGATACAGTAAAGTGGGTTTAAAATACGAAATACATCAGTAAGTGTTGTAGTAGTATTAGGATTATATTGTTTCTTTATAATTTGATGATTTTGGAATGGTGTGGTATTTAATTGTGTGTGATATTTTTGTGTTCACATGTGAAATGCAGAAAAAAATCTCACATAGTACCAAGAACAGCGCTGTCATTGAATGCATTAAAATTGAAGCAATATAAATTGTTATTTGCTCAATTAATTACTATTAAACCAAAATAGGGAAATATTTTGCCTAAATGTCAAAGAATTTATTGCGTTAAATGTATACATAATATACATACAATAGTAACGTTATTAAATAAAACAAATTAGTATTTAATGCAATAACATTCTACCATTCTAACAAATAAATATCAATATGAATATCAATAGATTTAGGAGCGATAACTTTTGTTGTTAATTTAAAAACAGTAAACGATTATAAACCAAGTGCTAACTACCTATTGGTATTATAGGAACTGTTATTCAGGAATACGGATTACAAGATCCCATTGGTTTAATAGCTCACCCATTCATGCTATGCTAGCGTTTTTTCTGTGTAGGTATTTGTTAATATTTCTGTTTAGGAAATTGTTTAATAAAGCAATTGATATGTGTTAATTTTTTTGTTTAGGAAATTGATGAATATAGCAATATTTCTTATCTAAATTCTTTTCATTTACCTATTCAATTAGTTAACAGATTACAGTTACCTGGATTAATATAAAATCTGGTTATAATTTGGTTAAAATAAACAAATATTTTTTACTGTGTATGGGCACGAAAAAAGAACATTTTAGTCACACTTGTCTAATTATAATCCAGTGTTTTGCGAAAATGTCTCGATATGGACATACAGATGCAATTAAATTTTGCCCCAAATAAACCCGATTTGTAACAATATGCGCCTTGGTTACATTTCGAACACATCCAAACTCTCGTTTTAATGTGGCATACATGTACCATACATAATTAAAGAGCATCTTTTGACCGTTTTTTTTTGCACACTTATAGTACTACCTGCTAAACACGGTTTTAACTTTATTTTTTAATTTTAGCCATGTTTTCATTTATTTTAATATTAACCCACTATAATATTACTCTATACATTTAAATTAAGAGCCGATACTAGCTAACAAATCGTCTACCATGACACAATTTAGACCCAAACTGGAACTTAATGCGCCCAAATCGGATACCATGAATCTACTATGCAGCCAAATTGCGCCTACTTGACTCCATTTGGTACTCTCTTAAAATGAATTAGTCAAAAATAACTCATTATAAGTCATATTTGACTAATTGTCATAGCGAAAAAGCAGTCACTTATAATTACTCAAATTCTACTAAATGAAATAGTCAAATTAGTAGATTTAAATTTAAAAAAGTTTTGACCCAGCCGGGGATTGAACTCAGGTCTGTCACTTGTCAAGCTTGTCAAGCTGTTGCCATAACCCATTCAGATATCAGCCGCTCTTATAAAAATCAATTTTATTTGTTGCATCTTTATTTGTTTTTATGGGTCATTTAACCATGGAGCTTAGGTATATGCATTTAATTCAAATAATACTTTGTTGTTAGTAGGTAATTAGTTACTTTTTACTCTCAGAAATAGTCAAAGATGGTGACTAATCTTAAATTAGTCAAACTTTAACTATTTACGTTGTAAAAAATAACTATTTAAAAGTCAAAAAGACTATTTTATTAATAAAAAATGCTGGTACTAATTCAAATAGTAGAATTTTGACTATTTCATTTTTAGAGAGTAACAGATTAGTAAGGTACAATATGGAAACATTGAGGCAACTAAGTGTCGACCCTAATGAGTCCGAATTGTGCTGTTTCGAAAAGGACACAGTTCTGTGTCCTAATACATATGCCTAATTTGTGCCGCTTCTAAGCGGCACAAATTAGGCATATGTTTCTAAAATAAAGCTACTTAGACCTATAATATTTTTGGACACAATTGGTCTAAAAATTGTCGTCACAAAGCACCTACAAACTTGAAGAATGGACACAACTTCCATTTAGATATTTTATTAAGTTTTCTGATTTGGACAAAAACATTTGGAAAGAAAAAGTGTCGTACCCAAGTTCAGGCACACATTGCTGCTTGGAAATGGATCTTTAAAATTTAAACTATTTTTACAAATTTTACAATTTTTTATTTGTTTTACCGTGTATACAGAGTTAGGAAATAAATGGTAACCAATCAGGGGGGTCTTTCTTATTTCCACCACATACCGTCATTTTGTATCTGCAACCTTGGTGTAATAATGGTACATTTAAAAGGTTAGGTACTTAACCTCAATTCTACTGAAAGTACCTAGACACACGCAGTTTTTGACGCCTGTACCTCGATTCCGGATACATATCCCCAAGACCAAAAATGCTTAATTAATTTCTGTTAAAAGCAATAATTGATTACCCATACTATACCTATGGTAAATAAATTTTCCATAATAAAGCCATTTTATTATAAATTTTAAATGCATTGTGATTTTCTGCAAAAACATTTGAAAAAACACGATTAATTTAAACAAAAATCTTTCTATAGTGTGCGGTTTGCTGTATTTTAGTTTTTGTGGAAATCATTTTCTATCTAAAATTAAATCTCCCAATTTCATTACATTTTACAAGAATTCAGCGAAAGATCCTTGCGACTTTTAGTCTTAAATCCCATTTATCCAGATTTTCGGGTTATTTATATTAATTTTTTTAGTTCTGTTGAACGAAGCTTAGCGAAATTTAATTTTTATATTACTCTACTTGAAATTGAAGTGGAGGATGAAAAAAACAAGAACTTTATATGGTGTCACTGCGGCAAACGACTTTTTCTTTTAGTTTTATGAGACAAAATTAATGAATTTGAAAAATTTCACTGCCGTTTATGATACATTTACCTCATGGCAAGTTTCACAAATATTTTAAGTGGATCAATTACATTTTATGCTGTGAAAGAAATAATGAATATAATTTTATTTAAAGACATTTAGTTGGTTTTAGTAAAATAAACTTATTTAATAGACCACTTATTTACTTACCACTTCATTTGAAAGTGCATGTGTTTATTAGTTAATTATTGAATTTAAAAATTTAAAAAATATAGTTTATCTAATAAATTTGTTACAAATAGTTATATACTTAGTTCTCCTTAAATATAAAACAATAATTTAATATCGATTTTCGTAAAACAATTTTAATCAGTTTTTTGTTTTAATAAAACAAATAAATTTGAACATACCCCATTTCTCAACAGGTCATTAATATTTTTAAACATTTTGGAAACCTTTTATATGAATTAATTAAACCAATATATTGGTAAATCCTTTAGTAAGAAACAAGTGGAGACAGGTACACTGTGAAAAATATTTTAAGACCATCTTTAAGATTCTTAATAACCATAATTAAGTATAGTATAAGTTTGCCTGATTTTTTCAGGAAATAAAATAGAGATTAATGCCATGATACAACCACTTAAGGTCTTTAGATAATTTAAGGTGGCTTACAATTTTATGTTCTGTGTTCACAATTGACTAGTATATGTTATTAAGACAAAATGAAGTCATGCCATTCTCTACGGTTTCTAGGAAGTCTTACAAAAAGCTTTTCAAAACTATTTCTTAAATAATGTGGTTTACTCTTTAAGAGAGTTTAAATCAGTTTTAAATTTAAATGCTCTTGCCAAAACACTTGTTTTATGAGCAAAACGAAAGTTTTGGGTTTTTCGTTAAAAAAATAAAGTTATTATTCAATCAAGTGACTTCATAGGAATATTTTATTTAGTAAAATTATTTTGGTACTTTTTCTAATTCCTGATGGATTGCAGCTAGGGGCTCCCGAGACCAAAATATTAAAAATCTTTTTTAGTTTTGACTTTATATTTTGTTTTTTTTTTCATAGCATGTTATTCTTTAGAAACTAAAAATATCCGGGGTATTTTTTTTAATCAGTT